TTCTTGAAAAACCTTTAAAAAACATTTTACTAACATAAAATTTCTTTAAAAAAATCGATTTTTTTTAAAGAAATTTTATATGTTAGCAAAACGTTTTATAAAGATTTCTCAAGATCCACCAGGCCTATTTTAGCGTTCTCACCACTATTAAATGCATCTTGATGAGCTCTACAACTTTTGTTAAAAACCCAAGAGTGATTTACTTAGTAAGAAAAAAGGTTTCTTTATATTTCTTTAAAAAAATCTCCATATTTACTACTTGAAGATTTTATATATAATTTATATATAAATCTTGTATAATCTGCATCATATAGCTCTCCAGATAACTGGTGAATTATCTATTAATACAAAAAAAATAGATAAAATTTAAAGTATATTTTAGTGCTATTATTATTTATTTATTATTTATTATTGTCAAAAAATAATTTTTTTTAAGTATGTTGTATTTTTAATACAGTAATAAATACTTTTGATTAGCCATGTATTAAACTCATACGAATGTATGTAGACATATCTGTACATATATACTGTACTGCACTACCTTTAGTACCCAGGCCTTATAAAAAAAGGTGTATTTTACATGGCAATATACCCATAGGTACTTAACCAAGAGTAGGTATACAAGCTGTAGGTACTGTGACATGGTTGTATTTATACTTCAATAATTTTTAATTAAATCTATTATTAAATCTATTAAATCTTAATACCTGGATCTTATACAATTTTTTTGAAATTTTTTTTTGTAATATATCTGGGTATTATTTGAAAAGAGTAATAATAGGGGGTACTAAAGGTAGTGCAGTATGGTAGATAGGATAACAGAAAGAAATTTGATAATTATATCTAAATTTAATTTACCCAATTACCCAATATCTATATGATTATGAAATATGATTAAGACTTGATTCTGCAATATGATGTTTTAGCAATCATATCAGATACAGTTGACTCTGTATATACCAAACTGCATATTCTGGAAGGTTTTGTTCAGTATAGAGTTGGTTCATTATATAGTTTATTTTTTCTATACCAAATAGTTTGGTATACAGAGCTAACCAATGAAATCATGTGTAGGATCACAACATCTTCAGAAATTCGCAGAACTTCACTTAAAAATTTTGCTCCAGCTCAGAAGCTTTAGGAACCGGGATTATATACAAACAAATAGTTCATTATATTGAAATATGTGTACATAGTCTTGGGCTGGTAAAGAAGAGTTCGAATGCGGTATATAAAAATTTACTATATAAGTTCGGTATAGGCAGCTTAAATTCTTATAAAAATCGGTTCTGCCAAATCTGGTTCGATATAACCCGAGTTCGGTATAAACAGGTTTGGTATATACAAAGTTGACTGTACATACACATTTTATTAAAATATAAAGTTTGAAACAAGGCCAAGCAAAGCGAGGCTGAGAGGTATAATATAGAAAAAATATTATAATATACAAACGAAGATGAGATGCCACAGGCACTCCTATTGTGTTACTGATGTCAATGATTAAATTAATTAATATATGTCAGATGATATCAATTAGATCATATGCTTATAATTATATGCTATATAACAATTTGAATTATATGGGTATTAAAAACTATGATAATTACATTATTAATTAATAACAAAAAAAATAATAGTGTATATTAATATCAGTTTGATATCATAGAAAGACTTCTTATGATTGGCTATTTAAGTTTATTTAATTTTACATTATTTATATAGTTTAAAGTATTTTAAAAAAATCAAACTACGAAGAATAAACAAAAAAGATGTATATAAAAGGTTTCATTAGGGTTGTAGGACTCTATCATTAAAAATAATCAAAATCATTTTTGGTTTTAGAGAAGTTAGCATAATAGTGACTTCTTAAAGATAGATGTAATTAGGTAATTACTATGCTAACTTCTCTAAAACAAAAAGTGATCTTGATTATTTTTAAATACTGGAGTCCTACAACTCTATTAATACTTTCTATATACTTCTTTTTTGTTTATTCTTTGTAGTTTGATTTTTTTAAAAAGTACTTTAAACTGTATAAATAATGTAAAATTAAATAGATTTAATGATGTTTAGTTAAATTTTAGTAGTAATTTATTATTGTTAGCATTAAAATTATTAAAATGAAATATGCAAAGATCATCATAACAGATAAGCAGTTAAGTTCGTGCTGGCTGGTAGCTTCTTGCCTGCATAATACAGAATAGCTATCAACATGACTGTATAATATTTATATAACCTCTAGCATCACTACTCTAAAAAATTTTACTACTATTTCACTAGCCAATCAGAATTCAAGATTCAGTATAATACAAAAAAATGCAAAAAATTAAAACAAACCAAAAAATCAACATTTTACCTATGAAACTGCTTTCTGTACACTAACAAAAAGTTTTTCTTGTGAAAATTTGGTATTAAAAAAAAACTTTTTTTAATCTAACTTAATAGCAAAACCTAACCTTAACTTACTGCGAAATTTTTTTTAGCAAAATTTTTTAAGTTTGTGACACTAGGGTCTTATATTTATATTCAGTACTGTATAAATGCGAATAATACCCAGTGGTGTTATTTTTGATTTTGGCTAGAATTAAGTATAATTTAGGCCAAAAATTAAAATTATACTCCTGGATGCTATTTCAGATTTATATGGTAGCTATAATAAAAAAACAGCAACTTCTTTTGAAGAAGAGGGCTGGTCGAGAATTGAGGGCAGCTAGAGTTAAATTGGTGATGAATTAGCCTTTTCTAACAGTATCTATTATTAAGTTAAAATTACTTACTATATGCGGAAGGTTATTTAGAATCATGCTCCTCTTGTAATCTTGATTATATGAGATTGGTCTTATTCCTGTTGCTATTTTCACAAAGCATATAGCCCCACTTAGCACCTTTTTGATCTGTTGACTTTGTCAACTTGAATGAAATTACAGTAGATTGGTATAGTATAGATAAGCAGATCTGTATAGTACCAATACAAGTTCAATTTTTTAAACACTATACACTGATATTAATTAGCTATAATTTCTAAGCCTAATAAGTATAGTTTATAAATCAGTATCAGTATTAGTTGTAGAGAATTTTTTAACGCATGTATGCCAGGTTTGTAATGCAGATTGCCTGAACTACCAACCAGATTTCAAGATCATATACAATATAATATGAATATGAAAATTCAAAACAGATAGCTGTTTTGTCAAAAATTACTTATTCTTAAAAAATTGCATATAAAACTACTCTTTGTATACTAACAAAAAGCTTTTCTTGAGTAATTTTACAATATATACTCATAACCTCTAATCTCAATAAAAACTCTAACCTTAAACTAAATGAACTTTAAAGATTTTTGACTATGCTATAAATCTGGCACTATCTTTTTAATGCATGTCTTGAATGTGTGCCAGGTTGATAGCATAGTTAACCTAAGCTACACTGATTAACTATCAATCGATTATGCAGAATATATATGATATTTACTGATTAATTAATCTTTTTATTATGTATTACTATTATTGACTTTTTATGATTATTAACTTTTTTTATATTAATTTATAATATTACTTTTATTAGATTTTTCTTATTACTTTACCATTAAAGAAATTTTAAAAATAGTATAAATGAACTTTAGTGCATATCAATCAATATAATAATAATATTTTGAGTATAGCAACAAAACTGGTGTTAAGATAATGATATAGAATTATTTTAATGATTGAAAAAAATTTTAACAAATAAATATCTACTTTGCCAAATGAAAGAGATTTTTTTAAAAAATGCTATATACCTAAATATTATTAATATATTTCTGATAATTCAACAAATTTTGACAATTTTCAAGAACTTTTTTTTTACAGCGATTTTTTTTTTTTGATGGATAAATTTTTTTATTATTTAGCTGATTTCAATGAATATTTTTTAGAATGAAATTTTCTGATTTGATTTAATGCTTCTTTCAATCATCCTTAGAATATATTTGGGATTCTCTATCTAAAATTTTAAAAATAATGCTTCTTCAGCAATATACATACTTAATCAATAACTTCAATCAATTACTATCTTATTGGATAACCAAAAACTTTAAAATACTCCAAATTGAACTGGATGCATACATAAATGTTAATAATAAAGAAAAGGTACACAAATAGTTTTCAGTATTTGAGGTATGCTCCAAAATGACTATACCACAGACTAAAGGTTTTACAATTAAGAGAAAGCAAAATTAAACGTCCATATTCAGCCTGGCTACGAAATATTAAATGCGATGTAAGTATTTATCTTCAGTTAGAGAAATAGTATCTTGAGTTAAGCTATCCGTTGGAAATCAATGTTAGATTCATACATAACTACGTGATTAATTTTGCAGAATCATTAAGTTTTCAACATGTTAGGAAAAAATTTTGTAACAAATTCTTGAAACAGTTTAATGATAGCCATTCGCCTGCTTTAGCTTTGCACTCTCACGAAAATGACCTTCATCTTTCTGCTATAAATAATCAAGAACTATTGAAATTACTTGCTGATAAAGCAAGTAATCTAGATTATAACTACGTCGCCAGGCTTTTTATCAATATCGTGAAGCGATACTGGACAAATGAAATGGCAAAGAAATGTTTAATTGTTTAGAGGTAGTAGTAAATGAATATAACAGCTCAGGTGAAGGTAAAGCTGCTTTGCAAAAATATAACACATATGTTGGAAGTGTATTCATCCTCTGTATTGTAATGGGCTTAATATATCGAGTTCATAAGAAAGTATCACAGGTGGGCAAACTTTGTTATATAGATATGTCAGCTTCTTTTGAGCCTTTAAATATCTTGCTTACTCTTTTATACACAAGTTGCTCTATTGGAGCTCTTCTTCTTGGCCTGTTCATTATTTTTGATAAATTAGAAGTTACATTAGAAAAAATAGTAATTTATTATCTTGTTGTCAACTAATTTTTTTTTTTTTAAGAACTAATTGTTTTTTATTTTAAATATTATTCTAATCTTATAATTAAAATTAGTTAAATTTGTTGAAGACAATTCTTCCTCTATACGTATTTTACAGATGTAGTCCTATACATGGCGTAGAAAGTATTTTGGCACAATTTCTACCTGAATTTTGGCATGCAGTATTGCCTAAATCCAAAATTTATGCCGCAATTGATGGCCAATACTGCATGCCAAAATTAATGCCGCAAATATTAAAAGTGGCCAAAAGTCTAAAATTAAATAAAATTTATTGCGTTATTATTATTTCAATAATTATTTGTAATGATATAATGATATTATTTTGATCAATTAAATAAACTATAAAAAATTT